CTAACCACTCGCGTAACGTAACGCACATAACACGTGTGTAAGTAGTGTCGTTCTAACCACTCGCGTAACGTAATTCAAATAATGAATCAAGTCTGCTGTTAGTATTCAGCCCACAACGAGATATATTCTTTTATATTATGATCTTTACAATACCTGTTGCGCAAGCGAAAATCACTGGGTGTAATGACTGTCCACCGGTGAGCGTCGAAGCATATCTTCATATTCTTACAATCACTCGAATTTTATCAAACATAACGCGTAGTGCGACCAATAAAACCTCTGCTTGAGAGTTGCAGGAAACCTGCCTGGCACAAACAGGCTGCCGATCCACTAAACCTTCCAGTGCAACTACTCGGCGTGTCTATCCTTAACATGCGGCACTACATTATTTGAAAAAAAATGTTTTCACATGACAAGCAGTGACCGAGTTAAATTTAGTAACTAACAGCTAAGAGTATATAGGTTAGTCTTAGGATCATAAAGTTTGCGGTTTGAAGTATTCAGAGCAGCTGCATGGGAAATGAATCAAGGGATTGAGTGATACCGAGATGGAATATCAACTCGTTTATTGGAAGGTTGAAAAATACGTGATGTTCATAAGGTTAACGTCGCTCAGTAACTTATAGAATATCTAGCATAAGAAAGATTCAGACTTATACTTCTGAATGAAACAAAGAGCCAAGTGATTGAATGTTCATAAAAATGTAGAAAAAGTGAAAAGAGTTGCGAAAGCTGATAGTTGTGGAAGAAGCAGGGCCATAAAAGAAACGTGTACACTAATATGCACTAATAAGCGAGTATATAAATAGCATTAAAATGTAAAACAAAATCCAAACTTAGTCCTCCACTTCGGCAGAGTAACGTCTACACAAAGCTTAATAACTTCGTAATATCGTGAAATTTGTTGGGTAATTACTAGTTCAGACAAAACCTAAACTTAGTCTAGTGCACCTTACAGCCTTCAGGCAGGGATATCACAGTGTGTTCAAGGCGGGGATTCGTAAGTATTTCTTAAGTTATAAGTTACATTATTGAATCTCGATGATTCTTAGAGATAGAGTTTCATAGGAACTTAAGGTATTTAAAATATAATTGAATCGTACCATATTCACCTTGCGTGTTCTAGTCGGTGATGGTTTTCACTGCATTAGCAAGGCATTTTTCAAGGCATTGTAGCCAATACGAGCAGTTTCTAACTGAATAATAACCAATAATTTACAGTCTACATATAATTGTTGTGAATCAAGGTAGTTGTTAACGCAATGCTAAAAAATTTATAGTTTTAGCAATATTATAGTCCATCTGGGTAATATTTAACCACAATGACAGATTTACTGTTTTAATAACATTAGAGCGAATTACGGCAGTTTTTAACTGCATTATATAGAATTTATAGTTTTAACAGTAATATCGTCAATCTTGGCAGTTTTAAGCTGCGATTCAAGGCAATTCCTAACTGCAATTATAATCAATTCGTGTATTTCTTAACTAGAATACAGTACATCAAAACTGTTAGATACAAACGCATGTGTTGATAATAAACATCGAAGTCTGGCACGTGGAACTCGTGCATGATAGATGGCGCTTGTAAGACGACCTGAGTCCTGTGCAATTTCATCTTTAACCTTTAACTCTTGTCGGACTGAATAGGTAAAAATTAACTTACACTTAGTGCGATAATAATATTGTAATATTAGGAAGTGTAATAAAACTTAAATATACCAGCGCTGAAAAGCTTGATAAAGAGTACGTCTGAGACTAGATTCTCTTTGTACACCTTGAACAAGATCGACTTATTAAAAATATATAAAATTGCAGCGTTGAAATAAAATAAACAACACTAAAATGAAATAAAGGGCATGCAATGAAATAATTGCCCTGGTAAAAAAACACCAAAATGTGGCAAGCAACTCCGTTTATTGTTGTCATGGCAACCCCGAGTTGACAGTCGTTCCTGAACGGTTCACCCCAAAAGCAAAACCAACATGTTGCACTAAGCACGTTACCTCCTCCACAAAGGAGAAGGTAGCTCTGATTTTTTATGTAATCTCTGATTTTTTATGCAAAGATAGCTCTGATTTTATTGATGTAATCTCCGATCTTTGTATTTCTTGCACTAAAAAACGTGTGTCTATTATTTGTAAGGCATTACCATTTATGTGGAACTTTTATCAAAATTCTGGATGGAAATGTGACCAAAAAAGTTTAGTTCAAAAATTTTCTTGTAGGAGAAATATTAAACCATGGCAACTAAAGAATCCAAAGTCATCAAAAGTTCACGGAACTTACTCTTTTTCAGCGCAAAAGGAAGAATTAATGATTCCGTAAAATCCACACCTTCTCTTCCCGAGATATCTTGTTGAGAAGAACCAGCCTCAGGACGGGTAGTGAAGACGATCTTGCATGGGAATTCATGGAATTTGTAGACCATTTCTTCTACGATTACGCTGGACGTGGCGTTGGCTTCGTCGTAGCCGTTAACGAGGATCAGAGGATGTAGATGTTTCAAAACATATTCAACGTTGTTTGTTCCAATTTGGCTGCAGGCTTCAGGAAAGTTTTCCTCGATGACGTCAGAAAAACTGCGGGATTTTGTATCGCGGCACATGAAGTGGATGAAGACGCCATGCAACTTACCCTTACCCCAGATTTCATACTTTAATAACTCGTCAAATTGATATTGCTGACATCTTGAGCTAAACGGTTGCAGATAGGGTTGATCCCGTCTGAGGGCTGGGGACTCGTAAATACTGACACACATTTCATCAAATACTTTCTCAAATTCGACGTCGACTCTCCTCTCCCGGTTCTCCTTCAGTACGCAATACGCAGCAAAAGCGTCATCATCAACGCGCACATCAGAGTATTTATCCCAGAGCGCCTGGCAAGCTTCCTTCACCCGCTGAGCCTCAGCGTCCGGCACGCGGTGCAGCTCAGCGGCCTCGCTGATCAGCTCGTATGCGATCTCAGTGATCCTGTCCGCCACACCCACGAGTTCGGGAGGCTCTTCTGTGAGGCTGATGAGCACTTCTGTCCTAAGACATCGAACTTCTTCAATGTTAAACCAATTTTTGCGGTGTGCATCTTTGGTTGTGCGGTCAACTTTATCAGTACCACCATTGAACACTGTTAACAAACGGCTAAGATATAGGGCTAGCTCGATCAGAGGCTGAGCATCGAATAGACGTACATCAAACTCCTCACAATTACATTTTTTGAGAGTTTCCATCAAATAGGAATTGCGCCAGAGATATGACAGGAGTTCTAACCAGTCAAGCTGCGTCTTCCTTGTCAAACAGTAATCCAAGTAAGTAACCTCCGGAGGCTTGTCCGCAAACATTTTCTCCATCACAAAGCGCAGCGCGTGCGGCAGCACAACGTTCAGGGCGTACAGACTCCTGTACACGGCGTCCAGGTCCCCGCATGACGAGGCCAGCGGACAGAGGTTCTCTCCACCGACGGCGGGGGCAACGGGGAGACTGGCGGGTGACTTGGGTGGTTCTGATGCGACACGCCTGTAATGTTATGTTTCTGACGTTTATACAGAACTATTATCAATAAATATCTGTGAATTCTTCAATATCGCAGGAAACGAAAGTAATGAATTTCGTCAGCGTCACCCGAATAAGACAATTGACTTTTAATTGAACTACCCCAAATTAAAGAAACGCAGAGGGTTAAATATTATGCTTATTCATTAAAAAAACGTATTTTAACTACAATATTAAAATTCGTTTAACACAACCCAATTATTATCTATATTACCGACCCCAAGCACGTGAAAACAAGGTTCAAAGAATAAATTCAATTCATTTTTAGCACATTTTCTCATCTATGGAAAAAATGCACTAATGTGCTCGCCATGTCTGTCTGTCCGTCCGTGACCTCAAGTTTTCGTCGACGAGAAAATGCGCTCTCTGTCACTCACTGCAGTAGTACTACTGAGTTATATTTTTGTATAATACGGCCAGAAGTTGGTAGTACCAACCTGCTGGGTTCTGCCTGTGGTGGCAGCGGCGGTTCATCAGTGAGAATCAGCGCGCAATTGTAATCCCTGGCGGAGGGAAGAAAATGTTTCATATTTTTTGGCATGTAATGGAATAGAAAGAAATAAAGATTGCTTTGTTAGGCAGAGTGACTGTTACTCTAAATCGTTATGGAAATCATATTTTAATTATTGGAATTCCTCAAGTCATATGAGCTACCTGAACTTATTATCAGGTAGGTCCTATTTTTACCGCAACACTGAAGCCAGTGAGAATTACTCCTTAATTGAAGCTAATGACCTCAAGTGCTTGGAGACATGACGTACATCATTTCAAATAACCAATTTCAGAAGTGAGTGTAAAATCTCCCCGAACTTGTTTGTCGGGATATTCAAGTGAAATCTGCCTTCTGTATCGGCTCGATATTATTTTGGCAGCATCGATTTATTCAGACAGTGTTCCTAAGTTATCAAGATTTTCTTAAGCAGGTCAGCTGGTTATGAACCACAGGCTGCTGCTTGGACCACTCATAACATCTGTGATGTCCAAGTGGCTTTTCATTGCAGCGTTCTGATTGGTTGGCTCACACGCACCTCCGACAGTTGCGGACGCTACTTAAGCAAAATTAAAATGACGGGACACAAGTGAAGAAGCACAATGGCTTCATTCCTCTATTTGCGACTCTTCAAGACTTCAATTGTTCCTTGGATGACAGATTTTAAAGTAAAATATTTAATCTGTAGCTCAACAAAATAATTTCGGCGCAGCGTGATGTAAGAAATCAGTTCATTTACCGCATTGTCAGCACCCGGCTGGGTCCCGCGTGGATTTGCTGGTTCGTGAAGATCGTCCTTAGGCCCGCGTGCTGCAGCTCCACCAGCATCTCCTGCAGCTGCACTTCAGTCAACGCGCAGTCACGCACCTCCAGCCTCCGCAACCTGACATGAGCCATTCATCACATAAGAACAGGTCTTAAAACACATTTCTTAACGATTTATTTGCACCCTCAGAACCACAAATGAGACATTACTGATCATCATGAAGCAAGGTAGGTAACCACCACCTGTTGTCAGCAGGAGCCATGCCAAGTAAGGTGCGAGTCAAACTCTTTTGCTGATTTTCAGCAACCAACTTCACCAAAAGGAAAATGTTGGGAGACGTGGGCAGGGCAGCGATGTCGCCCTCAGATTTGGGTTCAACAATCACCCCTGCGAGGGCAAGAAATTAAACAATCTTCAGGAAATGGGTGTTTTGGAAAGCATGTTGTGGAATACTTGTTTTTGAAATGGTTGATTGTGAACTGGGTTTACCTTATGTGGGAAAGGTGATTGTGACAGGGCTGTTTGTAAAAGAGGTGTTCATGGAATGGGTATTTTGAAATGAATGTTTGAGGATATGGTAATTATGATAGGTTTTTATAATTTTGAAATGTGTGTTTGTAGAAATATTGACTTCATAGATGAGGAGAATTACAGCAGAGCTTGCCTAACATTTTCAACTATTCACTCAACTAAACATAGCACGATTAGTCCAATGTCTCTTTCAAAACTCTAAATATCAAGGACATGTACAGAGAAATTGAAAGGCGAGGATGACATATTTATTTACATTCAATTCTAATAAGAGGATCTTCAGTGATAATTTTTCCAAATAATACAAACATACACAAACCAGTTGAACGAAGTTGCAATAATTGTTATGTATTGTTATTGTCTAGTTGAGGAATTATCAGGTTTGTGTTTTATCTACTCTTCTAATACTGGTTAATAGTTTTCATAATAATTTTGTGAAATGCAACCAGATTAATTCATTTTCCTAAGTTAACTTCACACTTGTTTTCGCAGACTGAGTTAAAATTAGCCCGAGCGCCATTTGATGTATTGACATCTTGATTTTCATCTCACAATTTTCTTCAGTCTTGCAGTTAATAAATTATTAACAGACCTGTGGTAATTAAGGCCAGTTCAGTTTGGGAACTACTGACTGGATACAACAAATTTAATCTCTGACTTTCCATGTATTTGAGCCTAAAATTGCCTCAAATCAAAAAATTTATATCAAAAATCAAATTTAAATCAAAAACCTCAAATCAAAATATCAAACAAAAAAAAATTCTGTCATCTCACCAGCTCTTAAAACTAGATATTTTTACCCTACATACGCAAGATTATCCCTACATACGTAAGATTAATTATCCTATTAATAATATCTATTCACAGGGATATACGGATATGTTCACACTCACAAAGCTCGTGGTGCTTGTGCTGCAGGGGCGTTAAGTCAACGTGCGGCTCCGTGACAATCACGAAGTCTGAGTTGGGCGTCGCGACTTTGGCCAAGGATTGGATGCTGTTTGTATCCTTGATACGGCCAGCAAATGATGACAATGAGCAGCTGCACGACAATATAATATATAAGCATGATACCTCAGGGCTAAAGAGGGTTACAAGTTCAGAGCTTTAAATGTACAACATATTAGTAATAAATATAGGTATATTTAATAGATAATCCTCCCTGATCATCGCACCTCGAGGAGTTCAAGGCTTCAAGAATGTGGTCACATGGTTGTGAATTCATTTCATTCACGCTTGTGTTCATTAACAGTCGCAGCTCAAGAATTCCTCTGAACGTCCTAGCCACCTCATGCCAGGACTCGGGCGCTGAGTCACGCTGAGCAAGGCCGGCTGCTGGTGCGGCAGCAGCAGCGCAATGGCATCAACATTGTGGCCTGTGTATGTAAGCACCTCATGACCTGGTCTTAAAAACAACAGATTATTGTCATAAATTCTATTATCAAATCTTTGCAAATGGCATGATAATAACGAATTTTGTGAAGATTATGTGTATTTTTATTCAGGCATTGCAATCACAAAGCTCTGCTAAATTTACACGTGCTTCAAAAGTAACAACAGGAGGAGCACAAGTAATGTACTACCGTAGTACCCATTATCAGGCAAAATACCATGTATGATCATATCAAATTGTCTCCATAAAAGACCCACCGGCCTCTGGTTTGAGTTACAGGCAACATTATCATGCCTCTGTCATTCACTGATTATCTGACAATCATTCCATACAAATCATTACCCCTACCTTACCCAAAAATTAATAGTAACATTTATGGTTGATTCAGATAATTAAATTGACGCGCTTTCTGTATTTATTTAAAAGATGGAAGTAACAATATCTATCGATGAATTAAAGTATCTGAATGAAATTTAATTAAATTCAGGTAATATAGTTACCGTTCACACTTAAATGCTTGAATTTGTATCATATGACATTTTTAGAGTAGTGACTGTATTTAAAGATTCTTCAAATGCCATTTACTCCTTCAATATGAATTATATTTTAAAATCCATAGGAGTAAATACAATTTAATTGCTTTCATTTATTTGTTTTGCAAATTCAAGTTTCTTCACATTTCCATGCTTGACTGCATAAAAGTTAAAGAATTAGTGCGGATTAAAAACAAATGCAATAATTGGATCAAATTATACATGCCAGCACACTATAGGTTTTTATAAAGCGCTTTACTGTAATATTCATCAGTTTCACGCCGCTCTCCGCTCGAGCTGTGAGCAATAGAGGATCAATACTTACAAAATTACACATTCATCTCAGTGTAGGCAATGTTCAGAAGAGAAAAATTTCTTAGTCATAACACTTGAAAAAGAATAAGCAAATACAGTTATACAGTTATGTGGTCTAGGAATTTACAGTGTAATATACAAATAAGTATCATATAATTAGATTATCTTATAATTATTGTCTGATATATATTTTATTTTCTGTTGATTATTGCTATACAACATTCATTTCTGTTTGTATCTTCCTGTTTATCATGGACATATAGAAGAAAAATTTGCATTAGCCAAAAGGTCTTAAGAAGGTACATGATTTCAGCAGTAAAGGCAGATCAACAGATAGAAGGGACGTAAAAATTGAGGGAAAGTAGAAGTTCTTCAATATTTCAGATTTTATTGTGTAGAGACTTCTATGTTCACCTAAATGACAATAAGGTTTGTAAACAACCATCAAGAAACAACTATCAAGAAACTCATTGACACACAAAGTTCCATGAAGGTTTGACGGTACAATGCCAGAGGCAAAATCTCTCAAACAATTAAGGTACCAAATAAAAATACAACCTGCATCAATGCTCCATTTGTTGTTGTGTGCCAAGTAGACTCCGGCAATCGCTTCAGTAATATGTTGCGAGTCACGACAGTTCAGCAAGATTTCCTCCCAGTCATACATGTCAACACGTTCCATAGCATCATGCAGGAGCGGCCAGTTTTTCCAGAAGACAGTGGACTCCTCAGCAGCACTCAGCTCCATGAACACATACGTGGGCACTTCTGAGAGGCTAATTGTATTATGGATTAGTAAATCAACATTAATATTGGTGATTAGTATCTAATTCACAAAAAAATGTCAATCTTCCTATCCATGTTAAAATTTACCTGGAAACATTTTGAACTTTATAGAGAAAACATGGTCATAGTGTGTAAGTGCAGCTACTATGTTTGTTAAACTAATTTTGTAATTTCAAAACTTCATTTTTCTGCATTGTACATATGTATTGAATTTTTTTATATCATGTATATGCACAGCAAGATAATATAAACAGTGAGACACTTGTTAATTAGTTCAAATTTATGTAGTGAGACCTAAATCAACTAGGTCTCTGTATAAAAATATTTAGATAGAAAATTTAGCCCTGTGAAACGTAGGGGTATCAGGTCCAAGAAAATATGATTGAATCCTCTAACGACAACCGCATGAGTTTTCCATCTCAGAAACAGTCTTAAGAAACTCAATTAGATCTTTCTAAACAGAAAACTCACTTGAAAATATCAAATTTTTGTGACGTCAGGATGGGCGGTAATGCATTATTCTTGCGGAGCTCCATTACGACAGGCTTAGAAGCAAACAGTTCCTGTAAGCTCTTGTGATGAAAGCAATATGTGCACGATTCAAAACTTTTCATTGGACAATTTATTCTCATGACAACACCTAGAAGAGCATTAGGATCAAGCGTCCCAAGCGCCCCATATTCTTTGAGTTTTGATCTGATACTGCATATCAAATCGTCAAGTTGCTTTGCAGAGAAAACCAAATGACCTTCACAAATCATCTTCAAGGAGAAATTGCTTAAGTCTTGGAAGAAAGAATTGATAAGGCCAGATTCATCAACAATTTCCATGTTTGCCAGCTTTGCCTGAATATATTTCTTATATAGATCATATGTGACTCGAGCTACAGCAGCATGAGATTTCAAATTATTTATCCTTTCAGGGAAGTTCCAGACCAGGTGACAAAAGAGAACCAAATTAATTGGATGAACAAAAAGTTTTTGAATTCTCCATCCAAGAGATCTGAAGCTCTTCACAACTTTCTCAGCATGCGGAGTAACATGCTTTTCATACTTCTCCAGAAATCTTAGTTGTTCATTCAAATCACAAATTTCTGATATCTCATACTCTTGGAACTTCACACCTTCTCGCTTCAGAAAGTCGTTGAGCTCATCAGCACCACTTGGCCTGGTGGTGATAATCACACGACACTCATGGTTCCTCATTTTGTTCACCATCTGTTGCACAACATTATACGAGTCTTTATGACATTCATCATAGCCGTCAATGAGAATCAAAGGGTTAGACTCAGCGATTCCTTGGATGACAGTTTTAGAGCCAAGTTTCTGGCACACATTCTCAAAGTTTTCCATTACTACATCAGTAAATTCTTTTGTAGAAACATTCCTGCATTCAAAATAAAGCAACAAATTGTGATTCTTTAGGTTGAACATTTCTACCTCTGCATCTGAGATACCATGGTGCTGTATGACCAAGTTCTTGGCCAAAGTGGATTTCCCATACCCAGAGTCACCAATGACTACGATGAACTTATCATTGCCAGTTAGGAGTTCAGTGTAGGAGATCCTGCGTTTGGGTTGATTTTTAGGTTTCTGTAGTGTCAATTCCAGGGGATGAAAAACTTTTGAGCATTCAACTTTGTAAACACCGAAGAGTAGAGTTTCTTCAGCCAACTTTGCTTCCCACTTGACTTTGGCTTCTTTGTTTCCATAAGTTTGCAGGAAGAAGCAACAATAAGCCTTAGCTTTTTCAGTGTCTGTGCGCACTTCATCCCACATCCCATCTACTTGGGTTTTGAAACTCGTTACTTCATCAGCAGGGATGTTGTACACGTTGCCAGCTTCATCTATCACATCATGCATGGCTTTGACAATTTCATCAAACTTCATAGGGTTGACAGCAGCACCAGCGACTTTATGTATAACAGCATTTCTCATGTCCTTGGCCTCCTTCAGGAGGCACTCTAGTTGACTGAGACTTCTCTCATAGCCAATGTGTGTGTATGATACTTTTGATTTGAATATTTCAAACAAAAAAGAAGATATTAGAGTTACGTCATAATTTGATGCTTCTTCCTGTAGCATTTCAATTGTACGTGTGGGTAGTTCAATTTTTGGTAATTTAAATTTATTGTTCTTCTCTGCCACCAGGGCAGCATGGCGGTCTTCATATTGCTGCTTTTTTTCTCCGAAATAATCTGCATAAATTTGCCCAAGCGGCTTGTCGCTGCATTCCCACTTTAGAACGGCACGAAAAACTTCACACATGGGAACTTGGACGGCAAAAATGTTTTTGTACCTTGTAGCTTCTTGAGGTGATAGCTCAATTCCAGCCACTAATGATATTTTCTGTGTAATATGCTTGAAGCCAATAATAAAAAATATAAATAAGAGCAAACAAAATAATAGATACTCTAAGCCAATTCCAGCCATTTCTACTTAAAATGGTCTTAAGGTGCTTATAGACGAGGCAAATAGTTGTGTTGACTAGTTGACACAACTAAAATTTGTGATGATTGATGTGTTCATAGGCAACTAGATGGTGCATTGCACACAGAGCAACTCAAGTTGTTTTGAAGCAGTCGAGTGCGCCCAGTACTGCTTTGGCCGTCTCAGAGTGCAGAACTGCGTTGCTCTCTCTCTTAACCACTGTAGCACATACAGCTTCAGAGCTCTCGCATGCCTCCACCATGCACACCCTTACAGTGTCTTACTCGACAACTCCCAACGTCGCACTGGCGCTGGCGCAGTGTACTGAAAACTCTCTCCTCATATTTAGGCTCTCAGCCTGCAAAACTGTAGTTGACTCAACTAATCGCCATGTGTTTGAGCACCTGTACTGTTGATTACTATTTGAAGCAAATTTTTCAAGTTCTCTTGATATCTGTTGATATTTTTCCAAGTTCTCACTATCTGTTGGCTTCCTGAGGAGAAAGCTCAATCCCAGGCACAAGTGTGATGTTCTGTGAGCAAGCTGCCATTTCTGAGGGCAGTTTTACCTGCACAAATATATTTCATAGTGACAAATTTAGCATCTAGCCCATTTTAGAAAGGAAAAGGAAATTAAAATTGCAGGAAAAAATTCAAATTTAAATAACATGCTGGAAAATTTTTTTTGCAAAGTTTTAATTTCTACAACAAAATTAAAATGGGACTTTTCAAATACTGAAAAATCTAATTAAAATTCATAAATATTATTAGCAGAGGTAATAGGCCTCAATTTGCTATATAATTTAGATACTAATACATAACTTGGGAAAATACGTTTCTAGCTAACACTACCTTTGCAAAGTAGCCAAGGTAGCACACAACACTTTAGCACAATTAGCTTGCCCAATACTGCACCACATACCTTAAAAAGCCACTATTAGTGCATTCATTGATATCCAGCACTCAGAACTGAAATGCAGGGATCAGAATCCACACTTGAGAAATGAAAGGAATATAAGAAATTGCATGGATCTTGCTTAATTGAAAAAGCAGGGAAAGATTGAAGTGCTTCTTAGCATCAATATGAATATGGATGGATCATAATATAGCTATAATCAGAAAGAATGTTCAAGGGGTAAAGGAACCATACCACAGGCAGCAACAGCAAATACTTATGGACTATGGCAAAATGTGGTAATGGCGTGCTAAATATATTGAAATTTCATATAGCTTGAGTCACTTTAATACAGAAACATGGAGTTGATGGGGTTCAAGCATTGTTATCAATGTGAAGAATGAAAAATGTACAAAATGCATGTCAATATTCAAGCAACAGCCTGTGATTGGCATAAATATAATTGCTGATGATGCAAGTGTCAATTTTAATCCTTGCTACAATGATCATAAAATGAACATAATCATCACACAAGAAATTCCCCCTTTCACGAAGGGACTGATGAAAGAGGCATACCTGTGACATATTAAATTTAGTAATTTCAACAGTTATTCAGAAAATAGTCAGTAAATCAGTAATTTTCCATAACAGGAAATTATGACAATAATAGGAAATTGAGAACATGCCAAATTTCTGTTAAATTCTCTCTATTGCATCAAGATGCTCAATGAGAATATCTTGCAAAAATATATAGATTGCCTAGAATATTTGAGAATCACAAGAAATATTCAGCAGCTTAAGTTACTGTGCCTCTATTTCAAATGTAATTAACTATTGAATATTTATGTCCTCTATCATTCTAGTGCTTTTTTTTTTTTTTTTTTTTTTTTTTTTTTTTTTTTTTTTTTTTTTTTTTTTTTTTTTTTTTTTTTTTTTTTTTTTTTTTTTTTTTTTTTTTTTTTTTTTTTTTTTTTTTTTTTTTTTTTTTTTTTTTTTTTTTTTTTTTTTTTTTTTTTTTTTTTTTTTTTTTTTTTTTTTTTTTTTTTTTTTTTTTTTTTTTTTTTTTTTTTTTTTTTTTTTTTTTTTTTTTTTTTTTTTTTTTTTTTTTTTTTTTTTTTTTTTTTTTTTTNCTGTCTCTTATACACATCTAGATGTGTATAAGAGACAGACGCAAGGTGTTCCCAACCGCTACGGGGCGAATACCCCCGTCTTTTTTCCGTAGGGCGCACAGAGTGGCTCCATAGAACACCGGTCTTGCAAACTCAGGAACCCGCCCTCCAATCACCAGGTTGACGAAACCGGCAAGGGAGGCCAGTAGCCTCGCGCCCGCCTCACCCGCCTTCCGCGAAATCAGGGCCACCAGATGACCCGGGCGTAGCCCGTCCGGGCCACCCGCCGAACCCGGCCCGAAGGAAGCGATGGCTTTCCTCACATCCCCTTCCCCTACGATAGAAGGAGGCGGGTGCTTGAGTATCTTCTAGTGCTTGAGTATCATCTTAGCATTATGCAGAACAATAAATGGTATTGATATATTGAGTCTAAATAAGATCCTTCACAACTAATAATTGTTCTATGGCACTTTGGTTGCTACTATATAGAAACACTTCAGTTATTTTTAGATTATTTTGTTATGTTTTGTATACCTATTACTATGAAGGCCTATCTTAGCTAATTTATCATTTACCCTTGCTTATTTTATTTCTGCATAGACTGGAGATAGATAGACTGCATGAATTTTTTTCTACAGTTATGAGCTGCTAACTTTTTCAGGTTAAGTTCATTTACTCCTTTACTAGCCCTGGATTGTACCACTAACTTTTTCCTTCATGTTGTTACTGGGGGTTTACAGTGCAACTTTCCTGTAGCCTTGTTATTGACTCTTTATCATTAATTGTGGATAAATGTTGCTACAGCATTCATTTGTCAATTTGGTTAGGTGATGTTTCATATCTTCTGTAATTTTTGGCATTATCACCATTAATTAAACACTATGTATGATTGATGGGTGATATAGAGGAAGGCAATAACATTGAATGAAGTTTAGCCAAGGAAGGCTCAAGCTCAAATTTTATGCAATCTCAATCCATATCAAAGATAGGTTATATTGATTGCAATCATTCTGTTATCATTGGGTTGCACTTTAATCCAGCTATCTAATGCTCCACTATAATGAGTATTTCTTCAGCTATGGTTAAATTTATTTATTGGAAAATACTTGCATTCATGTTCACCATTGGTCTATGCGCTTTTTCAACTGCACATTTTACAGGCCTTACAAATTATTTGCATTGCTCAATGCATAGTTTACATTTGTCAATTTCTCTAATTCATTTCTTAATTTAATATCTTGTGGTTCACACTATATCTTGGTAATCAATCTTTAATTAGATGTCATGTTTGCCTGATGTTTACTAACCCATTCCTCACCTCCAGACCAGCCATCTCATTTTACACAGATTGTTGATAATTTGCGCACCTACCTATGAATTATTTCATTTCAACTGTTGTTTCGCTGTTTTTTTTACTTTATTCATTTGCTAAATATCCTTTGGTCCTCATTTCAATTCAAGTCACAGTATTGTGTTTCTGTAATAAGACTGATTAGAGAAACCCATCAGTAATAAAGTACCATTAAATGGGGTAATATGGGACAGGTGGGGTAAATTGGGACAGTCCTCTGCCACAGCCTAAAAACCCATCTGATATAAGCCTAAACTTGGAAATACAGACTCATGAGATAATAAATTACTTATAATGTTGTAATCATGCGCCACATCATGATTCTGAACTAGGGAAATATTGTTGCTTAGTATAATGTCTCATGCTGTTGGTGAATTAATCCTGTTACATATCTTGTTAAAAAGTTGGCAAGGACCCTACAATGAATAAATGACTGTTTTTAATGATGACTATGGAATGAATAAAATTACAGGATAGTAAAATGTAAGGGTATATGTAATAATATTGGAATTGCAAAACTAAAAATAGTGGCGTTAATTTAAACTTTTTTTCTATCTATGTAGCATAAAGGAAGTTGAGAAATAATACTTACTAGCTCTAAAAAATACCTGAAAAAATATTTAGAAGTGATATTACAATCACAATTGATCAAAATAAGTCACTGATTTTATTTTCAATTGACAGTAATTTTTAATAAATTGTATTGAATGATTATCATGGATGAATAAGAATAAAATAGTTTAACAGTTTTTTACATTGAACACATTATTACATGCAATTTTTTAAGTGCTAAAGACTTAAGTTTGTTCCTTCAGGTCTCACCTATTTGTTCTGGTGCTGGCAAGAAAGTTTCCTTTTCTATCACAAAAAAATCATAACATTTAAAATATAAATACATTATCCACCTCAAATGTTGCAGTGGAAGCTGCATTAACTATACTACTGAACCATGTAAGTGTAGTTACATTTGAGAGAATCTAGTCTACTGGGATTGTGGGAACAAGGAACCAAGACTAAGACTTGAAGCATTGAAATAATTCGAGGACTAAACTTCTTCACCTAACTTGGGCACTCAACTGGACCAGTTGATGATTGGAGTTCATGTTATATCAGGGACCATACATTTGAATGTCATTATTAATTTGTCATTGATAATTTTGTGTGGATTTGTCTCTGTTATTATTGTGATTTTGCTGCCCTGCATATGTTAAATTACAGTCATTCCCACATTTATTTACCCAATTTCCTTTACTTCACTTAATTTATTAAACATTTTGAGTGCAGCATGACCCACCGGGGTTGCCAGATGGCAAAAAACGGCCAAGTCCGAGGACAAAAAAGGCCTATAATTCAATATTTGTAATACATTAATTTGCAGGTTCTGGTGCATAAATAAATTTTCATTATTTTCATACTTTTTAAAATTTAATCCTAACTTTTAGCATTCATTTTTGCTTGACAACACAATAAAAAAAAACTAAATTGGGGACTTTGTCCAGAAAAAAATACCCTGCAATCCACTGGTGGATAATGCCAAACTCAATGTGTTAATCATTTGAGGGTGACACTAATGAATTTAGAAGAAGTTGATTTGTCATATTAGTCTTTTTTATACATATATCTAGTCTGAAAAAGCTTAATTTTGCTTGATTTTGATTGCCAAATGTTCCTTAATAAATTGCTTGTTCCTACATTTTCCCTCATTCAGACCTCATTTAAATATCCCACAAGTTTCTAAGTAAAAAAACTGCATAAAGAACAGCTGCTAATACTTCTAAGTGGTTATGGTTTTGCTTCTCTGAAAGGTTTCACATCCCATTCAATCACGCAACATCAATCACTCATTATGTGCTTTCAATTTAGTCCATTCTTTCACAGCTCAACAACTCAGCTGTCTATGCTCCATTCATACAACTAGCTAATTATCCTCTCAATTTATTATAGTCATGTTCATTCAATAATTAGCTCTCCTGCATTATTACATATATCCTTACAATTTACTGTCCTATAATTTCATTC